CTTTTACCTTCGTGTTGTAAGGTATTTACAAACTCAGAATTCAGGGCTTAGGGTATATAGATCAGTGGATGTACAGATACCTAGCATGTGTGAAGCCCTGATTAAATCTCCCACACATAAAGGAGGAGAAAGACCAGAGGAGGAGGAGGTATTCGCAATTGATAGGGACGGCTCTTGTTTTAGTATGGTCCTAAAGGTTGCCATATGTTCATAGGTTGCCCATGTTCAGGGGGATGGCCCCACCCCCACACACATGTAAGTAGCACCAATTAGACTTGATGAGTTATAAAATAAGAAAAGAAGGAGATGAAACTGGGAGGAGCAAGTATTGGAAGGGTCTGGGGTGTAAGGGAGGATTTGAATTGGCTATGATGGAGATACTTTGCAAGCATGTATGAAATTGTCAAAGAGTAAATTTAAGATATTCAAAACAGAAAAGCCCTATAGAAACCCATTACTTTGTAAGATACTTTAAAATAAAATTTAAATTAAAAAATAAAAATATTAATATAAAGATAAGCAGTAAAATGAAATAAAAGGTATTATGCTCTTAGGCAATGCTTCCTGCTTGTTGGGGAGGTCCCATCTCTGCATTTCCTTTAGTTCTGTCAGGATATTATTGCAAACTCCATCACACATTTCCTGCGCTCTATAGAGCTATGTCAAGGCAACTTCATTGTCATCATCAATTGTGCTTACTTAAAAGCAGCTCTGTGATCTCCAAAGGTTCCTGGGATCATCTGATTATTCCCCTGGTTGGTACATGGTCATGATGTGAATGAAGAGACTGTCCTAAACTACAGTGCCCACCATCCTCCTTGACTTCTTGCATAGATGTGTCCCTACTGTCCGTTCTCCTGTGCCCAAATCCCAGCAGCAGCACATCTCTGAGTACTATGCTTTCTCCTCCTAGTCTGTTTGCTGGAAGCCCTGTTCCTTTTAAAAATAATCAAGATAGATAGACAGACAGATGCGTGCACACGTGCACATGCTTGATGTTGGAGGGTGCATGTGCCATGGTGCTCACATGGACTTTAGAGTGTTGAGTCAGTTTTCTCCATGCACCTTTACATGGGTACCAGAGATTGAACTCGTCTTTACTCAGTGAGCCACCTCACTGGCCCTTTCTACTGTTCTTCTTACTCATATAGGACTTATATAGGTACTTATATAGGACTTGCCCAGTATGGGATAATTATGCCAACAATCCCTGCAGCTGAAAAGCAGTCTAGGGTGGTGTAGGAATGAACGAACTGAGTGGTGTTCATGCATTGAAGCTTCATAAAGTGCTAACGGATTTAGGGTGTTTCTATTTCTGATGTTCCCTGAATGCCCTTGATGCACATCCTGTCCCATGTGTCTCATCTCATCACAGGGGCCAGCCTTGGCTACTGACATTCCCAGTCATGTGAACCTCTCCAAATTCTTATAGTCCTGTTTGCATTGCTCTTGGTGATGTTTCCTCAACTGGCTCGAATGGCCAAGTGTGGAACTGACCTCCGCATAAATAGATAGACAGGCAGGTAGATCTGCAAAAGGAAGGGGCTGACCCATCCTCTTGGTTTTACATGTTTATTTTCTTCCATAACTGACTCTCATTCTTCCCCTTTCCATCAGAGCCTAGAGTGGTGGTTCTCAACCTGTATGTCTCGATCCCCTTGGGGTCATATATCAGATATCCTACATATCAGATGTTTACATTGTGATTCATAGTAGTGGCAAAAGTATATCATGAAGTAGCAAAGAAATAATTTTATGGTTGGGATCACAATATAAGGAACTGTATTAAAGGGACACAGCATTAGGAAGGTTGAAAACCACTGGCCTAGAGCATAAAGCCAGACTCACCTGGGCCCCTTGTACATGTGGTTTTTGTGCAGAGGGCCATGGGACTGTACAGCAGTGACAACTAGTATTTAACAAGTTGACCCATTAGACATTATTGGAGAATCCTACTAGGCAACCCTGACTTACCAGACGTTATTGGGGGCCCCCACTTGACAAAGCTGTGGGGTTTTCGACTGAATGACTGGTTGTTCCTGTAACCTTCTCAGATACCACTGCTACGCCCCCCTAATAAGAACAGCTGTGGGCTTTTTCCCCAGCCCTTTGGTGGTGTGTTTTCTACTTCTTGGGAACACATGTAGCTGTGGATACTCGGGAAGGTGATGCTCAGACTGTATGGTTTTGATGAACAGAAATAACACTATGATATTTTACATTGCTCAGACTGCCATAGAATTCTCAGTCACAAAGAGCATTTTACACAGACAGCTATCTTTAGACTTCAGAGCAGATTCAAAGCAGGCTGGTTTCCCCTGGAGACAAATTTACAAGGTCATTTTCCCAGGCACTGTTTTGCTAATTCAAGGACAGAGTTTGAAGTAACTTTAGTCTGCACATCCCCCTCAACCTCAAGGTTCAGCCAACTGCCTATTGTCTGGAAGCCCTCGCCAACTTAGAGCTACATGCTAGGCCACTTGCTCACTGGCCAGTTGTTGTGACATTCCTAGGCTGAGAGAAACATGACTCAACGTGTTATGCACAGGGGTTGGGTCCTGAAAAATAACATCTAATGTCCAGAGTCTGGCTGTGAGAGAGGGAGAGGCAGAAGGCAGAGAGTGAAAACAGAGGAGAGGAGGGGGGGGGGTGAGGAAGAGAGAGAAGGAGCAGTGATGAAGGGCAGCAGAGGCAGAAGGCAGAGATATGCAGAAGGCTGCTGAGGGAGAGAGAAGTGTGAGAGCTGAAGAAGGAAAAGCATGAGGTAAGTGTGAGGAAACGAATGAGTGAGAGAGGGTAAGCAATGAATGACGTAGAAAAAGTGTGTGTATGTGAGTGTGAGCTGTGTGAAAGAGCTATTGCTATGAAGAAAGGCTATGCACAGAAACTGCCTACAGGGCTGTCTGTGAGTGAGCTATGTAAATGAGATGTATAGCTATGGCTGTGTGGAGATTTGTAACTGTAACTGAATATAAAAATAAGTAACTGGGCAGGAGAGAAATGTTTGTATGCAAAGAGATTGTCAACAGAGATTATTGGGCTGGAGAGATGACTTAGCCATTAAAGGCTAGGTTCACAACCAAAAATATAAGAGATTATTTAAGTTGAAGTCAAGGAGAAGGTCACCATCAGGAAAGCATGTGCATGTTCCTTTTTTCTTAGGTTACCAGCAGAAACCATGTATTTCCTTATTCACCCCTCAGATAAAAAAGCCTAACTACCCTCAGAAAGAATCTTTCCCAATACTCTGAGGCTTTCTCTTTATTACCCTGGTGCTGACTGGGGGCTGGACAACCCTCCAAAGTCAGCTTCGTTTCTGTATTTGCTCATAAGCAGTGGGTTTTGAGTGCTTGTGAGAAAACTCCAAGAAAACAAGTCAAGAGTTTCGTAACCCGTTTCTTCAAAACACAGGTTTGTTCTTGGAATGTGCTTGTGTGCCCCTCCTAAGTGTAGAGGATATAGTGAGTTTACTTCAGATTACAACTAGCTACTGCCATTTGTTTTCATGACTCTATGGAAAACGTTTTGCCACATGCAACTTGTCCTTGCGATTCTACACTTCACTCATGAGACTCTTCTTAACCCTTGGAGTACAAAATGTCTGATGCTCTAAATACAGTTATTATGTGAGACATTAGTCTGTCTCATTTTGAGGCTCCATTTTCCCAGGTTCCACAGACATAAACAAGAGGTTTTTTCAATCTGGATGTTCCTGTGTAGTTTGTATTCTCACCCCCATTCACAGTAACTGGGCTATTTTCTGGAAGGATATCAAATAGTGTATTGACAAGCAACTTAGTCTGTCTTGTGCTGGGCAATTTACAATGAATGGACGTTTGCTTAGTTCTTGAACCTGGAGAATTTCAGCTTAAGGTGTCACCATCTAATGAGGATCCTCCTCTGAGCCATCTCAAGGGGGAAGGGAGACTGCAAAGAACAGTCTTTGACTACACCATGAATCCTGGAATTACTGAGGATATCACTGGGGGTTGATCACATTGGGGTTTTCCGCCTGAGTTTTAGGAGACAAAAACATAATGTCCACTAACCGAAAGCTTTCTATGACAGATACATATTCCCAGACACTAGAGATTGTGATCCCGTTGGTCTGTGTAAGGACTGGAAATGTACTTCTTACAAACCCCTCAAGTGCTTCTGATGCAACCCAGCCTTTGGGAACTGTGGTTCTAGAAAATGAGCGTGATTAGAGAAATCCAGGAACATTTCTGGTGGAAACAACATTTCTTTCACTGTGGGGCAAGGGTCAGTTGATCCAGTTGAGGAATGGCACCCCCAGGAAGGGTGAGTATCTGCAGTTCCTGTGGATGGCATGACTCCCAGCAAGGCAATAACAAGACTGGTCTATGGACTTACTGTGCTAACATGAGGGCATCTAAAGGCAGAGGCTGGCTAGGAAGTAAAAGCTCATCTGGACTAGGAAATCCTCTGCAGGACATGCTGTCCCATGGATGTTAGTACATGGTACAAAGATAGTCACATTCCCTTTTGTTTGGCCCACCCAGACTCTTTCTTCAGGTGGGTGCTGGGAAGCAAACGCCAGTCCTCTGGAAGAACATCTTAACTGATGAGCCACCTCTCCAGGCCAACCACTAGACTTTGAGTGGCTCTCAGGAATCACAAGGTGCCCATAGCTAAGTAGGTGATCCTCCCTCCCTGCAATACGCTGACTTTACTTAAGAGTGGTAAAAGACACCTGCTCTGGGCTCCTGAGTCTGCTCACTAGGTAAAGACACCTGCCTTCGAGGTCAAGAAAATGGAACTTAAAAAAAAAAAATAAGTTGGGCTGGAGAGATGGCTCAGAAGTTACGAGCACCCTCTGGTCCTGAGTTCGATTCCCAGCAACCACATGGTGGTTCACAACCATCTGTAATGAGATCTGGTGCCCTCTTCTGGCCTGCAGGCAGACATGCAGACAGAACACTGTATGCATAATAAATAAATCTTTTTAAAAAGTAAAAACAAATAAATGAATTCTTTAAAAAAAGATGTATTTATTTAACGTGTACTAGTGTTTTGCCTACATGCACTCTGCGAGGGTGTCAGATCCGCTGGATTTGGAATCACAACAGTTGTGAGCTGCCGGTGCTCTTAACCGCTGAGCCATCACTCCAGTACCGAAGGGGAAGTTTTTCAGGTGGTTTTGCTGTGTGTGTATTTTGCCAGAGTGCATGCATGTGCACCACATACATGTAGTACCTGCGGAGACCAGAAGCGGGTGTTGGAGCCCCTGAACTGGAGTTACCAGTGAGTCACTAGCTGGGTGCTGGGTATCAAACCCAGGTACTCCGCAAGAGCAGCTCTTGTAGCCGCGGACCCATCTCTCCAGCTTCAGACACCACCGTCCCCCCTGAGCCCACTCAGGATCGGGTTAGGGTGGGAGCAGTATTCCGCCGGGTGCCCCCTTCCGGCGAAAGGTCGAGTGAAAGCGTCCCGGCCCGACCTTTGGGGTGACGATGGCAGCAAACCCCCCGCTGCTTGCCGGGTCCTTCGAGCCCTTCCCCGCGGGTCATGCCGCGTCCCAGGTCGCGTCCCCCCACGCCGCACTCCGCAGTGACCGGAGCGCGCCGGAGTCTGGCCGAAGGGTCCTCACAGGATAACCTCAGGGGAGCCCCGCTGCGAGGAGCCTGTAGCTGCACCTTTCCAAGCTTAACCAAAAAGGCGCGCGTCACCCGGCCCCGCGCGCCGGAAGTGACATAAGCGCATCGCGCGTTCCCGCCGTGCCTTTCGCCGCCGTCCTGTGGCGGGAACCGCGGCGCCTGAGGGACGGCGGCGGCTGTAAGTGTCGGTTCTGGGTGAGCTCGGCCTGGGTTCCGCCAGGCGGGGACCGGGCGGAGTCCTCCACCTCTGCGGTGCTCACTGCGAATCGGCGGCATTGTCGTCGTTAGCCCGCGGTGGGAGGTCGCAATCCCGTAAGGTGACAAGAGACTGGCCTTGGACCGGACAGTGACCGCTTACAGTGCTCTCTGGAGCACTAATTAACCTGTGTGCCAGGGTTAGAGCTACGTGTTTGCAGTCATTTACTTAATTCGTCTACTTTATGGAGTCGTCTATTAGCACCGTCTTCACTTTTCATTTGCTAAAGCCGAATGTCGTGGAGCCAGACACGTCTAAGCACCGATTATACAGCATTGGGGGGGAGGGAGGAAGAGAGCATTGCCATAGATAATAATGGGAGTTATTCTCAGAGAAGCCGGTGATCGCGGGGGGGGGGGGCTAAATGTCTTAGTAGTTAGGTTTTATATAAATCTTTGGCATCTTCCTCATTTTGATTTCTTATTTTGAGTTTATCGGAACAGTAGCGGTTGCCTCTATAGCAAGGTCCCACCTTCTCCCCACCCCAAGTCTCTGAAAGGCATTGGCTTTGCCAGTAAAGCTGCCTCAAGGCCCAAGAAGAGATGCTATTGGTCAACTGCTTAGATTTGTCTCAGAATTCCTTACCTGTGTGTTCTTTAAGGACTTTGGTCTCTCTTACGACCCTGTGACCCCGAGTGCATTCATAGCATCCTAAGTCATGAGGTGATGCGCTTTATTAAGCAGTTGTTGAATGCCTCTGCACAAGGTTGGGTACCCTTTCACGGAGAACTTGCTCACAGTTGTTTCTTTTTTCTTTTTCTTTTGTCTTATACCCAGGAGAAGAAACCATGCAGGCATTTCTAAAAGGCACATCTGTCAGTACTAAACCACAATTCACCAAGGACCGGGCAATACCCGCAGGAAGCAGTGGAGAAACCAAGAAAGTCAAGCCAGTCCCTTGGGTGGAAAAATAGTAAGAATTACCCATACCTTTGTTGAAATGACTAATAAGTTTCCTCCCTAATCAGTTATAGTCCATTGTTTTTTCTAATGTAAGGGGGATTTGTGGTAGTTAGATGCTGGGTGGTGTGTACAGCTTTGGGGTATTTGGGGTCTTATGTACAGAAATGAGCTGGTTATAAACAGTAGTCCTACTGAAATCTAGATTCTGCCCCTCTTTTATTATTGCATACTGGAAATTGTTGGCGTTTTGTTTGTTTATAGTATATAAAAGGTTTGAAGTAGCACTAAATTGTCATTAGCTAGATGTAGTCTCTGATTATTGAGGGTTTTCAGGTTATTTACAATCCAAATAAGGCCCTAATTTGCTAAGCAGAAACCTCAGTCATAGAATCTGGGAGAACTACTTTGTCACAGGAATTACTAACTAATGACTGGATGTGGTGGTGCACACCTTTAATTCCAGCACTCAGGAGGAGGAGGCAGGCAGAGCGCTGAGGTCAAGGCTGCACTGGTCTACAGAGTGAGTTCCATCCAGGACAGCCAGAACTAAACAGAGAAAACCCATCTCAAACAAAACAAGGGGTCTCCTTTATTTTGGTGTAGTTAGGTGTTAGAAAAAATGGTACTGACCATTTAATGTGTTAGCTGAGGGAGGGGTGTGTGTAATTAAGCAAAGTAGTTGCCAGTTGTTAGATATATTATTTTGTAAACCAGACAAGTGTCGTCAATCCCCCCCCCACACACACACACACACTTTTTTTTTTTTAAGACAATGTCTGACTGTGTAGCCCTGACTGTCCTGGGATACTTATGTAGACCAGGTTGGTTTCAAAGTCAGATCCTCCTACCTCTGCCTCCCCTTGTTAAGATTGAAGAGGTGAGCCTCCACACCTGGTTCACTTTTTTTTTTAAATTTATTTATTTCTTACATTCCAATCCCAGTTCCCCCTCTCTTCTTCCTCCCATTCCCTCCACTCTCCCCCACCTCCCATCTGCTCCACAGAGAGGATAAGGCCCCCCTGGGAAGTCTACTAAGTCTGTTCCATCATGTAGTTGAGGCAGGACAAAGGCATCTCTCCACCCCTACACCCCTGTGTCTATGCTGGGCAAGGCATCTCTCCATATAGAATGCACACCTGGTTCACTTTTTTTTTTTTTTTTTAAGACAGGGTTTCTCTGTATTGTTTTGGAGCCTGTCCTGGAACTTGCTCTGTAAACCAGGCTGGTCTCGAACTCACAGAGATCCACCTGCCTCTGCTTCCCGAGTACTGGGATTAAAGGCGTGGGCCACCAACGCCAAGCTCACCTGGTTTACTTTAAATTAAGTTCCTCTACTTGATATTTTGTGTGCAGTACAGTATGAAACAAAAATAATTTCATTCCAGTAGTACGTATTTGTTTAAGGTAAATACAGATGAAGATTCTAACTACTTCCAATTTCATATCTAATATGAGAGTACTATCATTGGTATTTTAGCAGAAGGAACACTTGGGACTTTTCTGTGGATCCATATATGCTAAATAACCTCACTTCCTTCCATCCTTCAGTCGTCCAAAGTGTGTGGATGAAGTTGCTTTCCAGGAAGAAGTGGTTGCAGTACTGAAAAAGTCTTTAGAAGGAGCTGATGTAAGTAGATGGTGTTTGATGGCATTGGGAAGTTAGGGTTTATTCACTTCTTCCTTTATTTTGACCTCTTATCCATAAATATAACCTTAAGTATATACTGTAAATCTTTGATGCTATTTATAAAACAACAATCATCTTCTATGTGACATTCTATTGTAGTATTCAAGTAAAGACCATTGAATAGCCAGGCAGTGGTGGCTCATACCTTTAATACCAGTACTCAGAAGGCAGAGGCAGGCAAATCTCTGTGAGTTCAAGACCAGCCTGCTCTACAGAGTGATTTCCAGGAAAGCCAGGGCTACACTGAGAAACTCTGTCTAGAAAAACAACAACAAAAAAGATCGCTGAATAGAATAGGACCCTTTCTCCATGAGCTTTTATTTTGGAGAGGACAGAGACCAAACAAGTAAATCAAGTAGATATAAGCATGTAATGAGTAATTGCAAATACAGGTTATAGAAAAGAGTCGATTGTAAAAGAGATATAGTTGGCTGGGTGTGGTGGCTATGTGCCTTTAATTCCAACACTCCAGAGGCATAGGCCAGCCACTATAATCTACATAGGAATTCCAAGCCAGCCACAGGGAGACCCTGTCTAAAATAAGTGTATGTGGGTGCATGTTTTTTAACCCAGTTTTGTGTTTTTTTTTTAATAGAGCATTTAATTCTTAGAGCACTGCATTTGCTGGCATGTATAGGACAAAGTGTCCTTGGTAGCTTGTTTTTTAAATTATTATGGTCAATATCAGCCCATTTGAAGAGTTAGCAAGTTTCGTTTAGTTTTTTGAGACTGGGTTTAATGTACTCTAAGCTAGCCTTGAACTTTCAGTTTAGCTGAGGATAAACTCATATTTCAGATCCTCCTGTCTCTGTCTCCCAAAGGATGTGGTTGCAGGTGTGCTCTAGAAAGTTTTAAATTGTATATGAAGGTGTGTCCCTGTGCTTTATGAGCTCAGTACAGAAAGGGGATCTGAGGTGAGCATAGGGAGTCGTTTTTGCTTTGTTTTTAAATTCTGTCTCCTAAACCTGGCTGCCTTTAGAGACTTGGTTTGGCCTACCATTACTTATTTCTGAAGTTACAATTTAGGTTCCAGAGTGATTGGAACCAAATGTGTTTTGGCTTGTGGTTTTTTGTTTTGCTTGTTTGTTTGATTTTTGTTTTTTAGATTTTGAAATATTTGCTGCATTCGGCAACTTGCATCTTTTTAACAAAATATATGCTATAAACAACTTAAAAGGGAAATTTGTTTTGGCTTATACTTCAGAAGTTTCGTTACCCATTCCTACCATAGTCTGATGACAAAACCTTAGTATAAGGGCCTTTTGGGAAACACCTAAAACCCAAGCCATAACATTTACATAAATCAAAATTAAGTATATTTGAGATGAGATCCCCAAGTCAACCCAGAATTCATTTATGTTTCATTCCTATGCCCTGAATTTTTTTTTTTTTTTTTTTTTTTTTTTTTTGGTTTTTCGAGACAGGGTTTCTCTGTGGCTTTGGAGGCTGTTGTCCTGGAACTAGCTCTTGTAGACCAGGCTGGCCTCGAACTCACAGAGATCCGCCTGCCTCTGCCTCCCGAGTGCTGGGATTAAAGGTGTGCACCACCAACGCCCGGCCCTATGCCCTGAATTTTATACAGTGCTATTTTGTGAGTTGAGGCTTTTACACAATCTAAAACAAAGTTGTAAATATCTTACCTACCCATGTAGGCAGTTGTGGATTGGTATCACATCATTGCTGACTTGTTTTTTTCCCTTTTGCTTATTTCTTTGTTTGTTTACTTTTTGTGGAAAAGTCTCTCTATGTAGCTCTGACAGTATGTAGACCAGCCTGGAAGTGCTGGGATTAAAGGCATCCACCACCACACCTGACTCATCACTGATTTTTTGTTTGTTTGTTTGTTTTGTTTTGTTTTTGTTTTTTTTCGAGACAGGGTTTCTCTGTGGCTTTGGAGGCTATCCTGGAACTCGCTTGGTAGTCCAGGCTGGTCTCGAATTCACAGAGATCCGCCTGCCTCTGCCTCCCAAGTGCTGGGATTAAAGGTGTGCACCACCAACGCCCGGCTCATCACTGATTCTTAATTTGGCTACTAGCAGTAAATTATTGTTTTCTGCGTTCACATATCAGTACTCAGTGGTACGTTTAACATTCCCTTATAATACTGTGCAAAAAAAGTGTTCAGAGTAACCATGAACTTGTGGCATCACACTAATGTTCAAAATATTTTGGATTTAGGATTTCCAATTAGGGATGCTCAACCTATATTATACTACACACTGAGAAAAAAATTAATTACAAAACTTTACAATTCTTACTAGTATTCATTTTGATTTGATCCAAATACCCATTTGACTATAATAGTATACAATGTTAATTGGCTAGTAACAGATTGCAAAATATAATTAGTAACATTTCTAGACAAATGTAAGACTGTCACATTTATATAACATTTGTTAATCTCTTCTCATTTATCTGGGCCTACAAGTGCAGGTATAATCTTACCCTATTCAGGGAGTTGAGTCTGGAGAATTGTAAATTCAAAGCCAGTAGGGACAACTTACCCAGCCCTGCCTCAAAATGTAAAGAAAAGGTTAGGGATGTTTACTGGTAGGTTTTTAAATAGCATGTACAGAGGCCTTAGGTTTGATCTCCATACTTCATTTCTGACTAAATTTATAAAGTGATTTTTTAATTTTAACTCTAAAAAGTTAAAGTCCTGCTGGGTGGTGGTTGGTGTCATACTCCCTTAATCCTAGCACTTGGGAAGCAGAGGCAGGCAGATCTCTGTGAGTTTGAGGCCAGCCTGGTCTACTGATGGAGTTCCAGGACATCCATGGCTACACATAGAAACCATGACTCAAAAAATCGAGGGGAGGGGAGGGAGGGAGAATCCTTTCTTTCAAGTATTTTAAAATTGAACTACAAGAGGTTTTTTTGTTTTTTTCCCCTGATAAAAATGAGTAATATTAAGATAAGGTAGCCAGGCAGTGGTGGCATGCCTTAATTCTAGCACTTGGAGGCAAGTGCAGGCAGATCTCTGAGTTCGAAGGCAGCCTAGTCTACAGAGTGAGTTCCAGGCCAGCCAGGGCTACATGGAGAAATCATGTCTCAAAACACAAAAAAACAAGAAAGGGTAATGGGTATAAAAACATGACACACAGACATACATAAACCCATTGTTTAATGTATAAGTAATAAATGTGAATTAAAAACATTTAAAAATAAATTTACTGTCTTAAAGAATTGAGATTTGTTATAGTTACCTTGGCTAATTATCCCAAATAGAGCCATGTACATATCAAAGTAATTATTACCTTTAAAATTATGAACCTGGGGGGCTGGAGAGACTGCTCAGTAGTTAAGAGCACTGAATGCTCTTTCAGGGGACCCAGGTTCAGTTCCCAGCACCCACATGGCAGCTTACAACTGTAACTCCAGCTCTGTGGCAGAACACCCATGCATATAAAAAAAATAAATTTTAAAAAAATTCTGAACCCAGGAAGGTATGCTAATTAATTTGCACATTGCTGTGACACTATAACTGACAAACAGTTTAGGATTTATGCTGTCTCACAGTACAGGCAGGAAAGGCATGGGGCTTGAGTTGGTTACTCACACTGCATTTATGACCAAGAAGTGTAGAGATAAATGCTAGTGTTTACTCCCTTACTCCCTAGTGCTCCTCAGTGAATCTAGAACATACAATCAGTCCTACATCCCAAGTCTCTTCCTTGTAAACTTGGCATTCAAACATACAACTTTTAAGCTATGATATTCTTCTTTTTTTATTTTATTTTATTTATTATTAAGTATACAGAGTTCTGCCTGCACGCCAGAAGAGGGTACCAGATCTTGTTACAGATGGTTGTGAGCCACCATGTGGTTGATGGGAATTGAACTCAGGACCTCTGGAAGAACAGCCAGTGCTCTTAACCTCTGAGCCATCTCTCCAGACCTAAGCTATGATATTCTAACCCTCGTCCCCTTAGGCTTATGACTGGCTCATAATGCAAAATGTATTCAAAACAATTTCAAAAATTCTCAGTCATCAGCAGTTCTAAAACTGTTTAAAAGCATAACAACAAAGACTCTTCTGAAACTCCATCTCTAAGCTATGAGTCTCTTACAATCCAAACCAAGTTACATAATTTAATGAACAGTTGTAGAGTGAACAAAAGGGAGGAAAGAGGCATAGCAAGGGAAGAGTGTATCAAAGCATATCCTACACCCAGCAGGACAGATACTGTTCTTACATGTGAGGTTCTAGAACAAAGGACTTAGGTAGCCCCATCCCTCCAGCTCTGCCACCACAGCCAGTTTCTGTCTTGGACCAGCTCCCCAACAGACATCCCATAATCATAGGTCTCCCAAACTCCAGGGTCCCTATTACACCTTCTGCCTCACTTTAATGGATAGCTTCATGCAGTGACCTCAGCAGCCTTTTTGAACCTTGGCATAAGCACTATGGCTTTATTCTTACATCATTCATATCTAAAACTAGTACCATGTAGGTGATGATGCTAAATTCTGCTTCCAGTTCAACATGTAGCCTGGCCTGTAGGAACCACTATTGCATGGACCTGTGTGTCTTCTGGGCTGACCCCGTGGAAACACTTCTAGAAGTATTCCTCAAGGACATGCTCAGAAGTTTGTGAACTCAAAACCTATTAATATTAATCATCACATGGAGTATTTTGATTTTTATTTGAAAAATAGGATCTCATATCTTAAAACTATGTGTTAATGTTAAGGTAGTATTTTTTTAATATTTTGCCCTCATGTATGTCTATGTGAGGGTGTCAGATCTTGGAATTAGAGACAGTTGTGAGTCGCCATATGGGTGCTAGGAATTGAACCTGGGTCCTCTTGAAGAACAGAGTCAGTGTGCTCTTAACTGCTGAGCGAGACATCTCCAGCCCCAATTTTTTTCTTTCTTTTTTTTTTTTTTCGAGACAGGGTTTATCTGTATTGTTTTGGAGCCTGTCCTGGAACTCTCTCTGTAGACCAGGCTTGGTCTCGAACTCACAGAGATCCACCTGCCTCTGCCTCCCGAGTGCTGGAACTAAAGGTGTGTGCCACCACCGCCCGGCTTCTTTTTCTTTTCTGAGGCATGGTTTTTCAGTGTAGCCCTGAGTGTCCTAGAACTCACTCTATGGACCAAGCTGGCCTTGAACTCAGACTCAGAGATTTCTGGACTCTACCTCCTAAGTGCTAAGATTAAAGGCCTGCACCACTACACCTGGGTATAAATGGAAAGCTTTTCACCTTTTTAAGTGAACTGTCTAGTGAGGCAGGCAGGTAAATTATAATTAAATTCAACTATTAAACACTTCTAAATACAAATGTTAAAAAGTGCAGCAATTGTAGTGAAGAAGAGCAGAGCCGTTTTAGATGGATGTTGGGTAAGGCAGTGCGTAAGTCTTGCCATACAACAAGAGTGGAGTCAGGGTCCAGACTGAGAATCACATACATTCAGAGGATCAAGTTCTTCCTTATTGGAAGTCATTATGAGTGCTTGAGTGTGAACAAGAAGGGCAACGTGGCCGGGCAGTGGTGGCGCACACCTTTAGTTCCAGCACTCGGGAGGCAGAGGCAGGTGGGTCTCTGAATTCCAGACCAGTCTGGTCTACAAGACCTAGTTCAGGACAGCCTCCAAAACAATACAGAGAAACCCTGTCTTGAAACCACCACCCCCTCCCCCAAAAAAGAGTGATGGGGAGTGGGGGGAGGGGAGCGGGGAGGGGAGGGAGAAGGGTTACGTTTGGCAAAAGTCAAACTACCATCTTCTTATCTTCAGAATTGTCCTACCTGGGTTAGAACTTAATGAATTATCAGGGTATAGTGGCCTGAAATTCTTAAGTGAAAGCAGGAGGGTTGGGAATTCAAGGTCATTTACAATTACATAGCAAGTTCAAAGGCATATTTAGAACTATAAATACTGTGACATCACTTATATTAAAAACTTTACATATAATGTAGTCTATTAGGAAAGTCATTACATCATTCCACAGACATATGGGTATTGTCAGTTTCATCTATTTGTGATATAATCTTCAAAAATTAAAATTTTATTTCTGCAGCTTCCTAATCTCTTATTCTATGGACCACCTGGAACTGGCAAAACATCCACAATTTTGGCAGCAGCTAGAGAACTCTTTGGGTAAGTTGAAATTGGCTGCTGTCTTAGTCACTATTGTATTGCTGTGAAGAGACACCATGACCAAGACAACAATTATAAAAGAAAGCATTGAATTGGGGCTTGCTTATGATTTTGCAGAGGCTTGGTATATTCATCATGGTGGGAAGCATGGGGGTGCACAGGCAGGATGATCCTGGAGAAGTAGCTGAGAAATGCATCCTCATCTATATGCCGAGATAGAACCTAGGCCTGGCATGGGCTTTTGAAACCTGAGCCCACCCCAATTACACACTTCCTCCAACAAGGCTACAACTCCTAATTCTTTTCTCATAGTGCCACTCTTTGATGACTATTCATTCAAATAGATGAGGCTTTGGGGCCATTCTTATTCAAACTACCACCGTTGTTCAATTTATTTTTAAAGACTACACCAGGGGCTAAGGAGAGAGTGTAAGGGTTAGGAGAACTTTCTGATCTTCCAGAGGACCACAGTTTGGTTCCCAGCACCCACAACTGGTGAGTCATAATGCCTGTAACTCCAGCTCTAGGGGATCAGACACTTTTTCTTGCTTCTGAGAATATCTGAATACAGGTGGCATACACTCACATAGAAACATTCATAATAAAAATTTCTAGAAGGAAAAAAAAAAGGTTTGAGAGATTTAGTGTTTAAGACTGTTCACTAGGTATTGAAGAAATAACTTAGGTGTAAGAGGATTTTCTGATTTTTTTCCCAAAGAACCCAATTTCCGTTCCCAACACCCACGCTGAACAACCATGCTGTAACTCCAACTCATCCCATGCCTCTTTCCCCCATGGGCACCTGCACTCAGGTGTATATAAACACCCACACAAAGACTTCAGGTTCAGCCAGGCGTTGATGGCGCAAGCCTTTAATCCCAGCACTCGGGAGGCAGAGGCAGGCAGATCTCTGTGAGTTCGAGGCCAGTCTGGTCTACAGAGGGAGTTCCAGGACAGCCTCCAAAACAATACAGAGTAACCCTGTCTCAAAGGAAGAAAAAAAAAAAACAAAAAAACTTCAGGTTCATTTCCTGGCATCTCTAGGCAGCCGAGGTACTATTTTAGCTGGGTGATGGTGGTGGTATACATCTTTATTTTATTTATTTATTTATTTTTGGTGTTTCGAGACAGGGTTTCTCTGTATTGTCTTAGAAGCTGTCCTGGAACTCACTTTGTAGACCAGGCTGGCCTCGAACTCACAGAGATCCACCCGTCTCTGCCTCCCGAGTGCTGGGATTAAAGGCGTGCGCCACCAACGCCCAGCTGGTGGTATACATCTTTATCCCAGCACTTGGGAGGCAGGGGCAGGTGGATCTTTGAGTTGGAAGCCAGTCTGGTCTATAGAGTGAGTTCCAAGACAGCCAGACATCCAGGATTACACAGAGAAGCCCTGTTTTTAAAAAAAGTTCATAGCCAATCTGTGCATACTTCTAACACTCAGGAGGCTAGGGAAGGAAGTTCATGAGTCCAAGGCCAACTTAGCTACATGACAAGACCGGTTTCCAAAATAATGTTAGTAATGGTCTTAAAGAATTTACTTGTAAGTGCCATACTTAGTTGTACATGTGACTTAAGAAAAGGTACATGCACTGAGCCCCCTAAATGTTTATGCCAACAGAATATTTAGGATCTCATACTAATTAGGGAAAATAAGAAAAACCTAAACCATTGTCTTAGAGAGCTTGACTTTATCAAAGGTAGCAAAGGACCAGAGTTCAGATACCAGCACCCACAAGGTAGTCCATAATCTAGCCTGGCTATGAGAATCCATCTTTTATGGACAAGAAAGATTATTTTGCAGTGGTATCAATGACTGCAGTGTCAGAGTTGGCAGTAAGAAACACTGAAGGTTTCTGTAACAACCTCTCCCCCCACGCCCACTCCAAAAAACAAGAAACAGTCTACTCAGGAAGACACTGAAGATAGCGTCTCACAGTTGATGGTTTCTAGCAGGGGTGGGGGGTAGGGGTGGTGTTCAGTTTTCTTTAAGGAACTGGCTGCTGGGAGTTTGACCATTCTCCATGAGCATATGAGCAACACATACTGGACTTGGTGTTTTTTTTTAATTCTTCTTTTGGGTGGAATGGACCTGGGAGCAAGTATGATATGGGTACATTGTGTGAAATTGCCAAATATTCAATAGAAATATTATATTGGAAAAATTATTTTTAGAAAGTTTAGCTGGGCGCTGGTGGCGAACGCCTTTAATGCCCGCACTCGGGGGAGGTAGAGGCAGGTGGATATCTATGCCAGCCTGGTCTACAGAGCGAGTTCCAGGACAGCCTCCAAAACAATACAGAGAAATCCTGTCTCGAAAAACCAAGAGAGAGAGAGAGAGAGAGAGAGAGAGGGAGGGAGGGAGGGAGGGAGGGAGGGAGGGAGGGAGAGAGAGAGAGAGAGAGAGAGAGAGAGAGAGAGAGAGAGAGAGAGAGAGAGAGAGAGAGAGAGAGAGAGAGAAAGTTCATATTTAGGCTTTAGGTATAGGCCCTGAGTGAGAAAAAAAGTTCATATTTAGGCTTTAGGTATAGGCCCTGAGTGAGAAAAAAAGTTCATATTTAGGCTTAAGGTATAGGCCCTGAGTGAGAAAAAAAGTTCATATTTAGGCTTAAGGTATAGGCCCTGAGTCTGACCCCTTGCCACATACAGCCTACTCATTCATGTTTCAATTCAGTACTTTACCTTAATAGCAAGTTATTGTATGGGGATAATTCAAATGTAGACTAGGCTGGCCTTAAACTCACCGAGATCCCGTATCTGCTTGTCCTTGTTTCCCAAGTGCTGGGATTAAAGGTGTTGGCTACCATGCCTGATCTCTAGGTTTTAGCCAAATGTTAAATGTGTAGCTCTGCAAGGAAAGACCATGTGTGTAACTGTGCCTTCCTTCCACTCACCAGCTGGGTTCTAAATTCCAGAATTAAAATAGCTTTAGCACCTGGGTTACTTTAGTGCTGTATGTTTCATGGTGTTTTTCATTTTGAAATAGGCCGGAACTCTTTCGATTAAGGGTTCTTGAGTTAAATGCATCTGATGAACGTGGAATACAAGTAGTCCGAGAGAAAGTGAAAAATTTTGCTCAGTTAACTGTGTCAGGAAGTCGCTCCGAGTAAGTAACTTGCTTCCCCTCACCATAATACAGCTCATTGTATTTGCTTTAAATGTAGGCTGTGGTTTGAATTTGACCTTCCAGTCAGGCATTTGGAATTATTCGAAGTTATGAAGGTAAGTCCCCCTGGTATCTTTGTAAGAAAATGACAAACACAATTATTCACAATCTTTCAGTTTCAGATACCATCACAGACTAGACTAAGATAAATTCTGAGTTGGCAGTGGAAAGTGCTCACACCTAGAGTGAACAGGGAGAGTAGGAAGTAGAAGGACAGGCAGTAACTTAGGTTCCCTGCTCTTGATGTAGCCGGGCCCTGCAAGATCCTATTGTTACTGCAGTCTGGTTCTCCCTTGACATGTGGCTGTGCTGAGAGCCAAGTCCCTCCCCTGTACTGACTGATTCTGCTGCTCCTCCTCCCTGAAGTGGATAATAGGAGCATGACCCCTCCCTCCTTTCCTTTGTTGCATGGAAAGCATTGGTGTCAGCAAGAGCCCCATGCAACAGCATTACAGCCAGGCAGCCTGTAGGCTGAGAAGCATTACAATGCTTCTAGTAGTTTCCTGAATATCATAAAATAGTAAAGGTCAAAAACAGTATTCAACTTTGTTAAAAATGCTGCAGGAAATAGAAATGAAGCAAAATCAATGTTCAGAAAATAAGAACCCACAGCCGGCGGTGGTGGCACACGCCTTTAATCCCAGCACTTGGGAGGCAGAGGCAGGCAGGCAGATCTCTGTGAGTTCGAGGCCAGCCTGGTCTACAAGAACTAGTTCCAGGACAACCTCCACAGCCACAGAGAAACCCTGTCTTGAAAAACCAAAAAAAGAAAGTAAGAACCCACAAAACTGGAAGAAATGTTTTCATGTATCTAGAAAAGGACTTACATCCAGAATGTATAATTAAAACTCAGTTAAAATACAGCTACAAAATGGGCAAAGATCATAGACATTTCTTAACCTCTACCATGGCTGAAATAAAAAAGAAAACGACCAGCATTTGTTAAGGAGAAACATTGTAAACCTTGCATATTGGTGACTGGAATATAAAATAGTACAGTCTTAGAAAATAGTACAGTATTAGAAAACAGTTTGTCAACTCCTACAAAGATCAAGTAAATTGGGCTTAATTGAGTGAGATGGCCCACAGTTTAGGAGCCAGCCTCACAGACCTGAAATCTGAGTCCAATCCCTGAAATCCGAACAGGTTGTCCAAAAAGGTTATCCTCTGACTTCACTTGAATGCTGTACACAGACACCACACACTTTTTTTTTTTTGGATTAAGAATTACCAATGGGGACTGGAGAGATGGCTCAAGAGGTTAAGAGCACTGATTGCTCTTCCGGAGGACACAGGCTCAATTCCATCACCCACATGGTAGCTCACAACTGTCTGTAACTGGTTCCAAGAGACCCAACATCCTTCCTTACACAGGCATACACACAGGCAATACACCACTGACAAGTAAATGTGTTTTTATATTTATTTACTTATTTTCCTGTGTATTGATGTTTTCCTCCTAGAACTGCAGTTGTAAGCTGCCCTGTGAGTGCTGGAAATTGTACCCAGGTCCTCTGGAAGAGCAACTAGTACTCTTAACTGCAGAGCCATCTCGAGCCTGTTTTTTTTTTTGTTTGTTTGGTTTTGTCTTTTGTTTTTAAGGAAAAAAAAATTGCCACATGACCCATCAATTCCATCCCTAGTATACAGGTATAAAAGATAAAAATTTATGAATGCCTAAAATGTATATAAACATACTTATCCTAGTAGACAAAACACCAAACATCCCCATGATTAGTAAATGAGTAAAATGTGAAATACCTGTCTGCCTATCTGGCAATAAAAAAGTAGTATTGGTACCCACTGCTTTATGGATTTAATCTTGAAAATGCACTTAAGTAAAAAAAAAAAAAAAAACGTAGCTATAGACCATTAACCTCCAGAATAGTCAAAGCTTAGGGGACAAGTAGATGAGGGATTGGAGCTGGGGATATTAAATTGACTCCTGATAGCAGCTGCTTTTTGAGATGAAGAGTCTAAAGTTAAACCTTGGTGATGGCTTTTTTAACAGTTCTTGAATACTGTAGGTCCCACCCCACCCCCATCTTACTGTCTACACTGTCAGTTACCTATGGTTAACTGTGGTCTGAAAACTAATGGAGAATTTCAGAAATACTTGATTTAAATTGCACACCATTTGCCAGATGTTGGTGGTACACGCCTTTAATCCCAGCACTTGGGAGGCCTCTGAGGCGGATCTCTAAGTTCCAGACCAGCCTGGCAGCTGGCAACTACAAGAGCTAGTTGCAGGACAGCCTCCAAAGCCGCAGAGAAATCCTGCCTCAAAAAAAAAAAATTGCATACCATTTTGGGTAGCTTGGAGAAACAATGTCATTCTGACCTGTCTAAGACATAAATCATCGTTTTGTCTGGGATACCCACTCTGAACTATTACAGGAGTACGAAAGGAGGTTAAAGTTACTCCCAAAAGTACAAAAACAGTAATATTATATTTGTTAAATTCCGTTGTTTCTTTCTGTATGATTTTATGAACAGTGTAGGTTTAGAGATAATTCGGGGGAAAGTACTTGCCATGCCAAGCCTGACCACCTGAGTTTGTTCTCCAGAACCCTTGTAAAGGTGGAAAGAGGAAAAGAACCATCTAAGAGTGCTGTGACATGCATACACCTACCCCATATACACACACACACCAAAATAAGCTGGTTTAGAGGGTATGGTTCACCACGTACTGAAAGATGCAAGTGTGTGAACTGTGTTCAACTCCTGTGTGTTTCTGATTTAGTGGGAAGCCATGTCCACCCTTTAAGATTGTAATTCTGGATGAAGCAGATTCTATGACCTCAGCTGCTCAGGCAGCTTTAAGACGTACCATGGAAAAAGAATCTAAAACAACCAGATTCTGCCTTATCTGCAACTATGTTAGTCGGTATGTATTTGCTCTGAAGACACATGCTGTCTTTTTTTATGTATTTGTGGTGTGCCCAGTGACATGTTTACACATACATACATGTGTAAGATAATCGATCAAAGTAACTAAACTTATCTTTCACCTTGGATTAGTAATGTGAACATCCAAAGTCCTCCCTCATTCTATGCTACTCTGAAGTATACATTCATGGTTTTCAATCTTTTCCAGCATAATTGAACCCCTCACTTCTAGATGTTCAAAGTTCCGCTTCAAGCCTCTGTCAGATAAAATTCAGCAGGAGCGATTACTGGACATTGCTGAGAAGGAAAATGTCAAAATTAGCCATGAGGTAAGTACTATAATCATGGTTATGAGATCTTAGAAACTAATGCTCATTGCTACAACTCTTGGTGTCCAGGCATATTTAACCTGAGCAACAGTTGAAACACACATATTAACAAGGCTTAGTTAGCTTTTGTTAAGTGGCCCCTTCCATCTGATTACTTTCAAAAACAAATCTTGTCCATTTGCACAGGTGCTACCTCCATGAACCCAGCTTTAAGACTGAAAATTTTGCTCCAAACAGGAAGGTTTTCTTTTGCATGTACCCTCACCTCAACCAAATTTTCTTTTCAGGGAATAGCTTATCTTGTTAAAATATCCGAAGGAGATCTACGAAAAGCCATTACATTTCTTCAAAGTGCTACTCGACTAACAGGTGGAAAGGAAGTCATGGGGGATGTAATCACAGACATTGCTGGGGTAAGCAAGAGTTATCTGGCAACTCCTGGCAGTCCTTTCCACTCTAGAGACCTTGTCCGATTTTTTGGTCCTTCTTTCCAGGTAATACCAGCCACAACCATTGATGGAATATTCACTGCATGTCAAAGTGGCTCTTTTGACAAACTAGAAGCTGTAGTAAAGGTAATGAACTTGTAAAATAACTTGGAAAGAAAACACTACTTTGAAAGAACCTTAAAACTGTTTTTGGGCCAGGCGTTGGTGGCGCACGCCTTTAATCCCAGCACTCGGGAGGCAGAGGCAGGCAGATCTCTGGGAGTTCGAGGCCAGCCTGGTCTACAAAGCGAGTTCCAGGACAGCCTCCAAAGCCACAGAGAAACCTATGTCCCTAAAAACCAAAAGAAAAAACTTTGTTATAGGACCTAATCGATGAAGGACATGCAGCTGTACAGCTTGTTAATCAGCTTCATGATGCAGTGGTAGAAAACGAAGAGCTTTCTGACAAACAGAAGTCTATCATCACAGAAAAACTTGCTGTAAGTGTAACAAAACTAGTAACTAATGTAAGGGAGCCCACCCAGGCTATGCCTCCTAAGTGCCCAATTTAATCTTTACAATTTCCTTTCCAGGAAGTAGATAAATGCTTAGCAGATGGGGCAGATGAACACCTGCAGTTGATGGGTCTTTGTGCAACTGTGATGCAACAGCTAATTCAGAATTGTTGAAGATGGCCGGTGGTGGCACAAGAATCAAGTGGATCTTGAATCAGAGGCCAACTTGGCCTTACAGAAACTCCAGCAGTAACAGAACCTCGTCTCAGAAAACCAACATGATTTTTGGATAATAAATGACCAAAAAAACTGTAAAGTGAATATACAATTTATTTAACATTCAAACTTCATTAAGACATGTGCAATATGGCAATTTTACTGGGATATGATTGCTTGCTGAGGCTTAGCAACAGGGTCCAGTTCACACTTAGCACTAATTAAATACTTTATTGAATAAATACAATACCAAACAATGCATCCAAATGTTTTCTAAAAAAAGAAAAATCACTTTTAACGGCCTTTCTAATCAGGCTAATGAGAAACACAGTAAAGGCAAATATGCTAGTTTAACATAATTGGCTGATTTTATACAGCACTTATATCTTTTAGTCCACAAGTATATTATTAAATGATAGAGAACATCTAATACAACCATTTCTACATAACTAGTAAATGAATTTCTAAGAAAAAAAGATTTTACAGACCCCATCTTTTATACCCACCCCAACAGTCTAACTCTAAAGAGGATAAAGCCAATGCCTTTCCTCACAAGAGCTCAGGACTAAAGTCGCTTTGCTATCAGAATCTGTATTTGTGATCCGTTATGAGCATTGAGACAAGATTCAAATATTCTCAAAGAAGCACAATGCACGTTGTGATCGCCTATTCAGCAACAGCGAGCACTGCATTCAAACTATCTCATCCCAGGAATTAAATAAGGTCAGCCACATTCATGGGCATTTCCTCCACTGTAGTATTGTAGAAAGTCTCAATGTCACGAAGAATCCTCTTGTCTTCTTCAGTAACAAAGTTTATAGCCACACCTTTCCTCCCAAATCGACCCCCTCTGCCAATTCTGTGTAAGAAAAAGAAACCAACAGTTACAAACTTGCTTTAGTATTACTTATAACTACTGAATATGACGATCCACTTGTTAACCATCAGCTGCTGTTTACTTATGGTTATAGTTCGTGCTTCTAAGTGGAGCACTAGCTGCTAAAGCCAATATCCAGGTGGGGAAACCATCTTCCTTTGCAGTTAGTGACAAAAGAATTCAAGGCTTGTCTGGCTGCAAATGAGATAGGCACCTTGAGCATTATATAATAAAGCAGATGACAGTATTGTGTTTGGGGTGAAATTAAAGCCCATACCAAAGTGGGCCAGCCAGGAGCAGTTGTCAGCCTGGGACAGATGTAGACACCAGGAATAAAAAGAAAAGTTATAAAATCCATTTCGACGCACTTCTGGAACTGTAAACTGTAAATACAAATGCTACAAGGTTAACTATTTCTTCTAAAACTTACTTTTTCCAGTGGGAAAACAATTATTTGGTATGGTTACCCAAACTTATCACTGCTTTTTGCTCAGCTTTTCACACGTTATACTCAAAATTACTCAAACGTGTACTCCAAAACAGCTCCACCTTCCTACCAAGTACCAGACAATACAAACCACCTAATGCTCCCTATCAGAAAGAAATGCTAGCATAGCAGAATGCCTTGGGCTGGAACAACTTAAAATATCAAATAATCATGACAAAAGAAAATCAAATATAAATACCGACTCGCTCTTTATTCAAACAGTGTGCTGTTTCGCTTATGATTCCACGTCCTAAATTACGTCAACGCCGTTTCTGAGCGCCATCTCGTCATCAACTGCCGCTATCGACTCCTGTATTTTTTAAAAAGTCTTTTTTTACATCATATAACAAAGTACAATTCAATTTATTTAGGGATAAAAAGCCACTATAACTAAACCAGGGAATCACTCAAAATGCTACCAGCAACACCAAGAAAATCCCACCTATATAGAATCAATCACCAAGAAAAAAACACAAGAAAAAAAATCACTAATAAGGCTCAAACAAAGACCAAAAAATAACCTAGAACAACCTAATCTGCATGTATGTACACAACCTTGACCATATTACAAGTTTTCCCACTTTGTTCTGACCAAATCTTCCCAAATCCAATTTTAACTAGACCTTGACAAACTATGCCTTTTTACTGGAATCTACTCCCTGACTTGCCATTCATCTTGATACAAAACACTGTAGGAAAATGTTTGAATTTACTTCTCCAATTTAAGTATTGAAATGCTTTTTCTCCTCACCTGTGAATATAGTTTTCACGATTGGTAGGTAGATCATAGTTTATAACCAAGGACACTTGTTGTACATCAATCCCACGAGCCTGAAATAAAAATCAGGTTTTCTTTCAATACCCTAAATTCAAAACACTGGATATCCCTGCAATCAATGTAGGCCACAAGATAGTAATGAACCATACTAAATGGTATAGCCCACTGTGGAGTGTGGTCTTTATTCTGCCAAATAGCCCAAGTTGGTTAAGGTTATTTAAAAAAAAACCTTTCCCACAAATCCAGCTTTTGGTACATTACAAAAGAACACACAAAAAGACTTACCAACAAGTCAGTAGTGATCAAAACACGGCTTGACCCTGACCGGAATTCTCTCATGATGACATCTCTTTCCTTCTGGTCCATGTCACCATGCTGCAAATGTTAACAACTCTTAATTCAAGAATCTCTGGTAAGATGTACCTTTTACTTCTACTATGTATGAGACCAAGCGTCCCTGGCTGCTACAGGGTGTAGAGCAGACAGGTATAGTTAAGAAACAATATTGTTTTGAGCAGGGGGAACGACAACACAGCACTTAACAGCCATATTGTAGTTAAATCCTGCTTAATGTAGTTTAACTAGCATTACTAAATCCAACTCTTACCAGAGCAGAAACTGTGAAGTCCCTGGCATGCATTTTCTCTGTGAGCCAGTCCACCTTGCGCCTTGTATTGAGGAAAATAACTGCTTGTGTGATAGTCAGTGTCTCATACAAGTCACACAATGTGTCCAACTTCCACTCCTAACGTAGATTAAAGAAAGTTTCGTTAAACAAATTTTGCATTTAAAAGCTGGCTAAATCAGTGGTTCTCAACCTCCCTAAATGCTGTGACCCTTTAATAAAGTTCAGTTACCAACTATAAAATTTGCTGCTACTTTATATTATGAATCATAATTATCTCGATATGTAGAATTATCCGATGTAACCTCAGAAGGGGTTGCAAAGTCACATGGTGAAAACTGTGGGTCTGAAGACTTATTGCACCAAATCTTAAGACAAAGGACACTGGACATTAAGAAAGAGGTCCACCCCTGTCTTTGGGATCCAGTGCAGTTACTTTTCTTCTTGTGTGTACTCTGCTAGCATTATTACAAAAACCAAGACATTATCCTAGTTTCTGCAATTTTAGCACAGTGCTTATACAAGAAGGTGGGGGAAATTTATACTTTTATATTGAAGAATGAGACACATTACCTCTCGTTCAACGTTAATATAAAATTGTTTGATTCCTTCAAGGGTCAATTCTTCCTTCTTCACCAGAATTCGAATTGGATCTCTCATGAATTTTTTGGTCACTTCTAACACATCAGTTGGCATTGTGGCAGAAAGCAGCACAACCTTTAAGATTAAGAAATTGTTTTTACCTGTGTATTTTGTTGGACTCTTGAGCTAATACTAACAGGTGAAAAAAATGTTTGAAACCAAGCGTCTCTGCCTTACCATGGTAGAGCTAGGCAGAGATAGTAAAGTATCAAATACTTTCAGCAGGGGGAACGACAATAGAACACTTCAGTTGTATTGTAACTGTACCTGCATGAAACCAAACCCAAATGAGTATGGAATAAACCTTACCTGAATGCTTGTATTTAATTTTTGGAAAATCTCATAGATTTGATCCTTAAACCCTCGGCTCAACATTTCATCTGCTTCATCCAAAACAAACATTTTGATCCATTTTGGAGCTGTTAATAAAGAAAGTCGTACTGCATTTCAATGTTCTCACAACCATTTGTTAAAAAAAACTTTAAAATTTAGACAATACTTACAAAGGTATCTTCGGTTTAGCATATCAAAGACTCTTCCTGGTGTACCAACAACAATATGAGGAGCTTCAGCCTGCAACTTCTGCATTTCATTTCGGACATTTGTTCCTCCAATGCAAGCATGACAAGTTGCTCCCATATAATCTCCAAGAGCCAAAATTACCTTTTGGATCTAAAAGCAAAAAAAAAAACCCTTCATTATCCTATAGAACTAATGTTTAAGACTTAAGCTCCAAGGCATAATTGTACTATTATCAACTGCCAAATGCCTTTATGCATGCATAGCACAAACCTTACAATTCCCTTATCTACAGGGCCCTCCTGCATTGTAAAAGTAGGGACCCTGTTGCCTAATACCAACTGGGAACTAAGTAAAAAGTTAGAGCATTCTTCACTGTCTAGGGTAGTGAAAATATATTCTGTAAGGACAAATGTTAATTTTTCTCCCATAATGCACTGTGCTTTATCCTGACCTGAATAAAGCTTCCAGCTTTATTACAAAGTGTTACTTCAAAGCCAATATAGCAGTGCTTTGAAACAGCATGCAACAGATGCATCACAAACTACTGAGACAGTCAAATGTTTAACATGTCACTGCAGTTTTCATGTTGCACAACTGGATTCCATGTTTTAAAATGGGTACAGATGTAATCCACCCTTTGAGAAACCTATGGGTTCTCATCTCAAACTGCTGAGGTACAACCCTACAAGCCATACCTAATACCCAGTTCCTGCTTAGCTTTCAATAAAAACTTCCTGCATGCATGGATAGCTAAAACAGGGGCTGATATTAATAGGACGATTCATACGTTTTAAATTCTTCACAGTTGTGAAACCTGAAACCTATGCAACACGCAAGCAGTTTTTGAACTACACTATCAATACCTGTTGAGCCAGTTCTCTGGTGGGGGCCAATACTAGTGCTTGGGTCTCCTTGAACTCAATCTCCAACTGTTGCAGGATGGAAATAGCAAATGTGGCTGTCTTGCCAGTACCTGACTGAGCTTGAGCAATCACATCATACCCTAAAAAAAGTAGGATACACATTTACCGATCCCACATCAAATCGTTAGTCTCCTATACACCATGTATTCCAGTTGGAACATATGTTATGCCCAAGTTAAGTGATCAGCAAAGAGTATCTCTTCATTTCAGGTCAGTCCCGAAAGATGATTGCCATCATTTCACTTAAGGAATACAAACAGGTGCTAGTCATTCCCAAAGGTTACTTTCCCTTTTATGGTCCATATATACATATATATGTAGAACACATTTAGTCCATGTGTCAGTGAGTTTTACCTTTAATACAAGGAATAATAGCTCGCTGCTGAATAGCTGAAGGCTTCTCAAAACCATACGCATAGATGCCTCGAAGAAGAGACTCCTTTAAATTCATATCATCAAAGTTATCAACAATTTCATTCCAGTTGCTCTGTAAAAGTTAATATTAAAAGTATGAATAAGACGGAAAAAACTTTACCTTCCCAAGCCTTTAACATCCACAACGACTTCTTACCTCGATGACACCATCGGGGTCCATTCCCTCTGGGCCGCCATGTTCTCTGCTGACAAGAACACTGCAATTAGACAACTTAACCCTTCCAAACCTAATAGACCTTCAAACGGATTGCCCTTTCCACCCTGTTCCCCATTATCCTCCACGCACGAATACTACGCTGAAAAAACACCCAAGATAGGTGGCATTGCGACTACCTGCCACTCTCCTTCCCCAATGGCTGAGAACGTAAGTTACAACTAAATTTTAAGCGCCCCTTTACTTACTGCCCTAGGACCAGCCCTCCCGTTTGGGAAAAGCAGCTCTCGCGAGTGCGGCGCGCGCCGAGCTCCGCCCCTAACTCTGCGCAAGCCGGCGTGATTGACGCCGAGGAGGCCCAGCCAGGACCATGCCAACGGTTCGTCGGCGCCCCGTTTACAGTCCGGTGTCATCGCCCTCTGGCCGTCCAATCTCCCTCCTCGACAGAACCCTAGGAACCCCAGCTCGCGCCACTGGCCGCAAATAAAATCCGGACCCGGTCACCCTGCCCTAAGCTGACTGCGCCACAGCTGCTTGCCGTGTCCCGCTTGGGGAGGGGCAGAGGCCGCGATGTCACAATATCTCCTAAGGAAGGGCACCCTTAACACTCCGTTCTCCTATCCGCTCTGTCTCCCCACCATCTGGAGCCCTACCACCATGGAAGCTTCTCGAAGGACACAAGGAGACTGTGTGTGCCCTGAGAAAAGCCCCGCATACCTGCAGGGTGGCCGCAAGCCACCCGCCTCAACCGCGGGAGCTAGTGACCTTCCCTGCAGGCTAGCGGCCGCCCCAGGAGCACCATACCTGTTGTAATCCGCGGAGCTACCAGACATGATCCGAAAACCCGCTCAGCGCCCGACTGAAAAGACAGCCGCACCGCGCCGCCCGTTTTTTATAGGCTCGTGGCCGGAACCCGTTTCTCGCGGAGGAATTTTCTTATCTCTCTTCGGAAGCCGCAAAAAAAAAGTGCTCCTCGGGTTTGTTACCGCAGATGAAATCCTAAGGGAGTCGATGACAAAATCCACATTTCACTATTACTTGGTATTACAGCGTTCCTGGAGATCCATGAGTCAGGAGCGGGGCTGGGACTCTTTGCGTTCAGCGGAAGAATATTGCAGCAACGCGACCGCGCGCCGCGCTCCTCGGCCGCCTTGCTCCTACGGGGTTTCCGCGGCCCTGCCGCAGAGGCCGGCGGAGCTGGGGACGCCCGGGCGGAAGCCGGTGGCGCTGTTCGCTGGCGGGCGGCGTCTGCAGGACGCAGCTCCGGGGTACCTGCGCGTCAGCGTGCCGCTGGGCCGGGCCACCGCGTTCCGCGACGGAGCGGATTCGGGTTACTCCGCTCGTTCTCTCTGCTGCTTAATGGGTCGGTAAAGGGCTACCTGGCATTATTCCCAGCCATTTAATACTCAGGTCTGGAACGCGTGAATCCCCTGCCACGGAAGATGTCGGCCACCCACCCAGCACATCCTAGGAAATCCAGTTCGCAGTTACTTTTTGTAAGACGAGGGGCAAGACGTGTGGTGTCATTAACAGAGGTCCCTTGAGTGGCGATTTATTTCCATGCCCTTCTGGTTGTCTTTAGTTCTGGTTTAAAAGACAATGCTAATAATTTAAACCTAACAGGTGTGTTACCAACTTTTGCAAAGGGCCTGTCAGTCTTTGTTACACAGAATTGTAAATGGGTTCCCCTGGCAGGTTCAGCGCTAGCTCTTAAAAAGTGGATTCATTCCCTTCTGATAAAACAGAACAAAAACTATTTTAGCCGTCTGATGTTGCCTTACTGAAATTGAGAGCAATAGAGTTCTTTGTGCCCATAATGAGCTCGCATGGCTGCCGAAGCCCAGAGGTTTCTAGTCAACCACAACTCCAGCCCCTTGCTAAAAATATAACATTTAATCATTGAATCTTAGCACAACCCTGTTCTCTGTTCAAGATAGTATTGTGAACACTCATTTTTTCCTCCTTAATTCACAAGACCAACACCAAAAGGCTGATTAACGGGGGGGGGGCACAATTGTCTACTTTACAGATAATATTTGGTTCTAAAAACCATTCCTTTTATGATTACATTGATTTGTTTATTTACTTGTTGTGTGCACCTCAGCGCCTGTGGAAGTCAGAAGACATCCTTGGGAGTTGGTTCTTCTACCACGCGGATCCCACAAGTGGGTCCTGGGGATGGAATTCAGGTCATCAGGCCCTGAGACCAGCACCTTTCCCCACTGATGCACCTCACCAGCCCTGGATACTATCCTTATTCAAAAATATTGTTTACTACTGTTGAGTCAGAAACTGTAACAAAATCAAGATGACAAAACAGAGACTGGGTGTGGTGCCGGGGCCTTTAACCCCAGCACTAGGGCAGCAGAGGTATGTGGCTCCTACAAGTCTTTCTCAGCTGTCCCAGGCCCGTGGCTCAGTGGAGAGGGTGTGTATGGTTTCATTCAAAGTTGCTGGGGGAAAAATGTTGCCTGATCTCAAAGTACTAAATCAGAAATGTGACTGCTGGCCAGGTGTGGGTGGCATACACCTTTAATCCCTGCACTTGGGAGGCAGAGGCAGGCGGATCTCTGTGAGTTCGAGGCCAGCCTGGTCTACAGAGCGAGTTCCAGGACAGCCTCCAAAACAATACAGAGAAACCCTGTCTCCAAAAACAAAAAACAACAAAAAAAGGGGAAATGTGACTGTTTACAGTTCAGACTCACTTTCATGAGGAAGAAATAAATCACTGCCACTTAATGTTAGGGTCTGCACTGTCGTTAGATGCCCTGAAGGATCTTTCTAAGCCTCTTAAGGGGAAATACTTTAGGGCTAGCCTTCAAACTACAACTGTGGAAGGAATTTTGCATTTAAAAAGCATATTAGCTGGGCGTTGGTGGCGCATGCCTTTAATTCCAGCACTCCGGAGGCAGAGGCAGGTGGATCTCACTGAATTCAAGGCCAACCTGGTATACATAATGACTTCCAGGGCAGCCAAAGCTACATGGGGAGATGCTGCTTCAAAAATACGAATAAAATAAATAAGTGAAGGTTAATAAAATCAAAGTATCTGTCACCCTGTAAAGTATTTCCAATAAATAATTTGCTTACTCTAACTACATAAATAGCATCAAGGGTTAGGGTTCAGGGTTAGGGTTAGGAACATGTGAGCTGAAAATAATGCATATTTTTTTGTTTTACAAATCTGCATAGAAGATGCCTACACTTTTCAGTTTATGGTATCTCTACTTACAGTCTGAAATTTGCCTTCTCACAGTTAGCTATAAATGCTCCTTAGCAAACTTGGAATTTGTGAGACAAGTTATACTACAAATGGAAAAAAAAAAAAACAAAAGCAAAGAAACAAACGAAAACCAGATTCTTAGCCAGGCCTCAGGCCATGATCCCACCCATTCAGCAGGCCATGCCAGGAGAATTACAAGTTCAAGGTCCACCTGGGCTACAGTGTGAGTTAGGGCAACCCTGAGCTACATAAAATACAGTTTAAAATGAAAACAAACCACACCTGTAATCCCAGTGCTAGGGAGGCAGGCAGGTCTATGTGAGTTGGAGGCCAGGACAGCCAGAGCTATAACCCTGTCTCAAAAAAAAAAAAAAAGGAAGAAGAAAACTTGAAATAGAGCCCTGCATAGCAGATGCCCTTACTCCCAGCACTCAGGAGGCAGAGGCAAGTGGGTCTCTGTGAGTTGGATGCCAGCCTGGTCGTTAACAGCAATTTCTAGGCCAGCCAGTGGTGAACACCTACCCATGCACATAAAGTAAAAAGCAAACAAAATTACATAAAACAGCATTTTAGTAATCAATTGATTCACAAAATTGCATTCATGCATATTTTAATGCCTAGTTACTACTTATGAAAGTTTATTGTTTAAAAAACTCACAGTCCCATACCTGCTGCTGTCTTTTGTTTGTTTGTTTTTCGAGACAGTTTCTCTATGTAACAGCCCTGGCTGTCCTGGAACTCACTTTGTAGACCAGGTTGGCCTCAAACTCACAGAGATCCGACACTCTCTGCCTCCCAAGTGCTAGGAATAAAGGGCTGTGCTGCCACTGCCTGGCTTCCTCTGCCATCTTAATCTGTAATTAGTCTGAAAAGGCCCATGCTGGATTAGAATGACTACTGCTGCTTCCTACCTCTTTTTATTATTCAGTTGCTGGTGAAAATAGAAGATAGATTCCGTTTTGCATGTAAGTAATGTCATTTAGAAGGTGGCATTCACTGGCTTGTTCTTCACAGTAACTTCTAAGCATCTGTGGGCCAACGAGATGGCTCAGTGGATAAAGGAGCTTGCTGTCAAACCTGATGACCTGAACTGACCTCCCTATTAGCCCAGGATGATCATCCTGATTCAGACTCCTGTGTACCAGGATTATAGGTATTTACCATCATAATCTATGTATCCGTAAAACAGTATTTCATGTGAGCAATGCATCGGTCAAATGTATTTCAGAGGTTTAAACTGTAATCCCCCCTTAATGGTAAACAGTTTTGTTACTCGTTTGTTATTCTCCATTCTCTTACTGCCACCTCCAAAATAACCAACCACCTTTTGAATTTTATGTTTTTCTTTTGTTTTTTTGTTTTTGTTTTTTTTCCTTTTTTTTTTTTTTTTTTTTCTTTTTCGAGACAGGGTTTCTCTGTGGCTTTGGAGGCTGTCCTGGAACTAGCTCTTGTAGACCAGGCTAGCCTCGAACTCACAGAGATCCGCCTGCCTCTGCCTCCCGAGTGCTGGGATTAAAGGCGTGCGCCACCAACGCCCGGCTAAACTGCTGTCTTAGTTAGGGTTTCTATTGCCATGAAGAGTCTCCAATGTAAGTAACTCTCTTTTTATTTGTTAAAATTTAAATTAAAAACAATCTTATTTTACATATCAATCCCAGTTCCCTCTTCCATCCTCCCTCTCCCCACCCCCCAACTCACCCCCCAATTCACTCAGAGAGGGTGAGGCCTCCCATCCGTGATCATCAAAGTCTGTCACATCATTTGGGGCAAGACTGAGGCCCTCCCCCTTGCATCTAGGCTGAGAAAGTATCTCTCCATAGGGAATGGGCTCCAAAAGCCCATTCATGCACTAGGGATAAATACTGGTTCCACTCAGGACAACTCTTATAAAGGAAAACATTTAACTTGGGTGGCTGGCTTGCAGTTCATAGGTTTAGTCCATTATCATCATGGTGGAACATGGCAGCGTGCAGGCAGACATGATGCTGGAGGTGTTGCTAAGCATCTACATCTTGCAGGCAACAAGAAGTGGTTGGTCTAAGACACTGGGCAGTATCTTGAGCATAGGAGACCGCAAAGCTCATCCCCACAGTGACACACTTCCTCCAACAAGGCCACACCTACTCCAACAAAGCCACACCTCCCAGTAGTGCCATTTACTATGAGTTTATGGGGGCCAATTACAATTACATTCAAACTATCACAACTGCTTTACCAATGTAGTCAAATCACATAGCCGGCATGTCAGGAGGTAGTATGCTTTTTTCACAGTTAGAATTTCAGGTCTCAGGAGGGTAGAACAGACTGATTGCCAGAAATTTGCTGTGACTGTTAGAGATGAAACAACTGGCTCAGATGGCTCAGCTAGTGGCACAAGCCTGATGACCTGAGCCCTGACTGTCAGACCCCACCTTAAAAGTTGGTGTGGTGACATGCATCTGTAACCCCAGCAGTCCTGCTCCTGAGACGGGAGAATCGCCAGAAACATCACACCAGCCAGCTATGCTGGATTGCACAGCTAGACAGAAACAAGGAGACCTGGTCCCAACAAGGTGGAAGACACAGACAGACTCCTGAAAGCTGTCTTTATCACACCCACACCCATCTACACACAACATGAACACACCCCTACACACCACACCACATCCACATCCCCCACACACACACTATGAACACACACACATCCCCACATACACACCACACACACAAACACACACCAACATGCCACACCACACACACACACACCCCAACATACCACACCACACCCCCCACCCCAACATACCACACCACACACAGCATATACACACACACATCACACACACAGCACACACACACACAAAACGTAAGAAAAATTAAAATATTCTAAATAAAAAATAGATAAAACAATTGGTTTACATGTTTTGACATTTATTTGGGGAAGGAAAAGGCCACATATCATGCCACATCCCATATGTAGAGGTCAGAGGAAAACTTGTAGGATTGGTGCTCTCTTTCTACCACATGGATACTGGATACTGAACTCAGGTCCTCGGGTTTGGTTCAGGAACCTGCACCTGCACGGCCTATCCCTTAAATGACTTTCTAAAATGTTAAATAGAATGAAAGCAAAGCCAGGTGTGATGGCGCACACCTTTAGTCCCAGCACACAGGAAGTGGAGACATGAAGAACTCTGTGATTTCAAAACCAGTCTGGTCTACATAGGCAATTCCAAGCTACTTATAAAGTGAGACCTGGTTTAAGGAAGGAAGAAAAGAAAAGGAAACAAGCCAGTTGTGGTAGCACACATTGGTAGGATTTGCTGAAGGAGGCAGAGGCAGGAGGATCATGAGTTCGAGACCAGCCTGGTCTGCATATTTTAAAAAGCCAGGCAGTGGTAGTGCACTAGAGAAGTAGAGGCAGGTGGAACTCTGTGAGTTCGAGGTCAGCCTGGTCTACAGAGCTAGTTCTAGGACAGTTAGGACTGTTACACAGAGAAATCCTGTCTCGAATAAACAAGTGAGTAAAATAAAAAATGGATGAACTTAATTTTACATAAAGAAATAAATCTTGACTGAATTTTTGATATTTCAGGACACAGCATACTAGAATTTTCAGTTAGCCAATATTTGATTTTATAACCATCATTTCTGATGGGTTTGTTTTGTATATAAATGTATAGTATAAGATGACAGGAATATGTTTAGGGTCATTTAAGAAACAGTTGGAAATTCTATTCTAATCCTAAGGCAAAACCCATTGTATGAGTGTTAAGAAACTTGAGTTAGGTGCTTGCCTTAAATCCCAGCACTCCCGAGGTAGAGGCAGATGAATCTCTGAGTTCGAGGCCAGTCTGGTCTACAGAACTAGTTCCAGGACAGACTCCAAAGCTACACAGAGAAGCCCTGTCTCAAAAAATAAAGAAAAACGAAACAACCACAAAAAAATTGAGCTAGGAATGCAAGCAGCAATTTTTAAAGTCAAGCATTCTAGCACAATATGATACAAATATATTAATTTTGTATTTACATGTTGAAACATGATGGCAGGAAAATATTAGAAGACTTTTTCATGCTGGGCAGTGTTAGGGCACATCTTTAATCCCTCCCATCTTTAAGCACTTGGGAGACAGAAGCAGGTGAATCTCCATGAGTTTGAGGCCAGCCTAGTCTACAGAGTAAGTTCTAGGACAGCCAGGGCTACACAATGAAATTTGTTTTGAAAAAAAATTTTTTAATCCACAACTGTTTCATGATTAGACCATTATCTTTCTGTAAGAACAGTAAAAACAGCCGGGCGGTGGTGGCACACACCTTTAATCCCAGCACTCGGGAGGCAGAGACAGGCGGATCTCTGTGAGTTCAAGGCTGGACTGGACCGATAGCCTCCAAAACAATACAGAGAAACCCTGTCTTGTAAAACAAAACAAACAAACAAACAAAAAAAGAACAGTAAAAACAATGCACTTCATGGTATACGTTAACTTTGAATCTGAGGTCAGGTGTTTTCAAACACTCCCTTTTTGAAACTAGGATTCAGTCAAGGATCACACAGAAATCAGGATGTACACCTGGGCAAGGAGGATGAGGCAGAAGAGCCTGGCATTCAAGGCTGGTATAGGATACATAGACCATGTTGACACAGAAGAAACTAAAAGTAATAAAATTGATTTGGAAGGACTTACTAATAGATTTGACTAGGAAAGAGTAAGTCACACAGGTGGAATTTAGCTAAAGGGGAAATGCCTCTAAAATACCCCAATACCAGGTCTGCTAAAGATAAAGGAAATTTAGATGTTAGGGTGTAAATGTTTATTCACCGAGATTGGCCAGCCTTTAGAATCCATTCCCATGGGGCTGGGAGAGATGGCTCAGAGGTTAAGAGCACTGATTACTCTTCCAGAGGTCTTGACTTCAATTCCCAGCAACCACATGGTGGCTCACAACCATCCACAATGAGATCTGGTGCCCTCTTTCTGGCTTGCAGACATACATGGAGGCAGGATGTTGTATTCATAACAAATAAGTAAACCTTAAAAAAAAAAAAGAGGCCGGGCGTTGGTGGCACACACCTTTAATCCCAGCACTCGGGAGGCAGAGGCAGGCGGATCTCTGTGAGTTCGAGGCCAGCCTGGTCTACAAAGTGAGTTCCAGGACAACCTCCAAAGCTACAGAGAAACCCTGTCTTGAAAAACCAAAAAAAAAAAAAAAAAAAAAAAGAATCCATTCCCATGACAGAGGAGACTTATCACTACCCAGGCCCTGCCTCCCATATTGAAGACCTCTAATGGGTAGCTCTCAGGTGGGCCAGAGCAGGATCACAAGCATCATAAGTCCTCTGGCTCTTATCAGAAATCTTAATTCTGCCAGGTGGGCAAGATGATCCTCATAGCAACTATTAAAAAATAAAAATAAAAGCCGGGCGGTGGTGGCACACGCCTTTAATCCCAGCACTCGGGAGGCAGAGGCAGGCAGATCTCTGTGAGTTCAAGGCCAGCCAGGTCTACCAAGCGAGTTCCAGGACAGCCTCCAAAGCCACAGAGAAACCCTGTCTCGAAAAAAACCAAAAAAAAAAAAAAAAAAAAAAAAAGGCACTGGTGTATTTTTTTTTTTTTGGTTTTTTTCGATCCGGGCACTGGTGTATTTTAAGTGATTCTGACAATATGTACTGTTTGCTTTGTAGATCTCCCATCTGCTTAAGGGAATAGCTGCTTAAGTTCGAATAGCTTCAAACTGTTCCACATAGAAAGAGCTCATCTATTTAAAAAAAAATGGAAAAATGTTTCGGTTTTTTGTTTTGTCTTTCTGAGTTTCTTGCTTATTTCCCAATCAATGTATTAGAATGAGATCTCCATTTGACATGTAGTTCTGACTCAGTCTTTCCTGTAATTCCAGCACTAAGGAAACTGAGGCAGGAGAACTGAGAATTAAAAACCAGCTTCGCCTAATCGTGTGTGTGTGTGTGTGTGTGTGTGTGTGTGTGGTGGTGATAGGTGGGGGGATAGCATTGATCTTCAAAGTTAAAAACTTTCATTTGCTTGTCCCTGTCCCTTAGTCCCCTCCCCCTGCACCCCAAAGGTAGGCTTGTACAACTGGGATACATGGAGTAGAGCTCACAGCCGTGTTATGTGCGGTGGAGGGATAAAACTGAGAATAACTGATGGCTGGTTACAAGGAACTGGCCCAGCCAGGTAAAGTGGCATTAGGAGCCATCCTCCCTGATGGGTGCAATGCTCAAGCTTTCCTGCTGTTTGCATCTGCATGCAAGTTGGAAAAGGCAAGGAATTGGGGCTAGCTAGCAGGGCTGGGCGCTGAGCAAGAGGCCTGAAGGCACCCAAGAAGCCAGCTTTCTGTTTGGTATCTTCCATCTATCCTTCAAAGGCGGTGCACAACCAGGCCGGAAGGGCGGGCCTTGCTGGGAAAGGGGCCCAAAGGATAGAGGATTGTGGCTGTAGCTGAGACACATTCAACTGCTGTGAACGAATGGCTCTAGAGGCTGGCCACATGGCCCACAGCAGAATTGGAGCTAAGCAGCACCAGGCTTGCCACAGGGAGCCCTGTTCTGGGTCCCTACAAAGGCTAACCCTGAACGGAGCAGCGGAGCGGAGCACGGATAGATAAGTTTTGGGCGGGAACATCTGTGTGGCCAGGTCATGAGTTGACAGTGCCTTGGGATGGCGCCTCCTCTCTCCTGGGATGCCGAATTGAGCTGCAGGAAAGATGGCTCAGCTTCCGAATTTGTCCCTCGTATCTTCTGGTTGTATCTCTCTCGCCGCCCTTGTCCGGCTCTTCCTCCATCATCGGATCCATCCTCTCGTCCCCCTGCTGCTTCCCCTGCACTCCTGCTACCCTGCCCCCAACGCTATGGCTCGGAAGCAGACACAACCCCTGCTAGACCTGCAAGGACCCACTACTCAGCAGCCTGTGTGGAAACATCTTGCCTTTGAAAGATTCCGCTGAAGACAGAAAGACAAGCTACACAGGAGGAAATATGTGCAAACCAATCATACTAGTATCTAAAATACATTAATGCCCTGAATAACCCAATAGAAAAGGAATTCTAAAAACGAGAGCAAAAGCCATTACTATGAAAAGGAGGCAAGGGCGGCGAGGCTGTGTCTTCTGAACTCTGATATTTGACCCAAAAGTGTGAAAACTACATTTTGCATCCTTTATTCCTAGGCCAAACAAACCAGCAGATTCTTTGCCAGCTCTCGGGTCCTTGCATGCATCACTCCATGAAAACTTTTTAGAGGTTATTCGGTTGTTATTCCATCTGCTCATGGTTGGGAAGTGGCGCTCTGGGGTCAGTAAAAGGGCTCAGCAGATGAAGGTGCTTGTCACCAAGCCCAATAACTGAGTTCAGTGCCCAGGCCCCACATGGTAGGAGAAAACTGACTCTTGCAAGTTGTTCTCTGATCTCCACACTCGTGCATACTTGCTCCTCTGAGAAGGGGCGTGCAGATGCTCCACCCCAACCTGCTACATTGCTTCTCTCCTCTCCAGACTATATTTGCATCAAGAAAGGGATTCGCTCTCTTAAATTCTTTTTTTTTGTTGTTGTTGTTGTTTTGTTTTTCGAGACAGGGTTTCTCTGTATCGTTTTGGAGGCTGTCCTGGAACTCACTCGGTAGACCAGGCTGGCCTCGAACTCACAGAGATCCGGCTGCCTCTGCCTCCCGAGTGCTGGGATTAAAGGCGTGCGCCACCACCGCCCGTCTCGCTCTCTTAAATTCTACTTAAACTTTAAAGTTTTGTTTTTATTTAGATTTCCGTGTACAGGTTTTTATCTGCCTGCATATGTCTCAGATCCCCTGGAGCTGGAGTTACAGTTGCAACCTGTCATTGGGTACTCAGAATGGAGTCTGGGTCCTTTGGAAGAACAGCTGATGCTCTTAAACACTGGGTCAACTCTCCTGCCCCAATGTCCCAAGGAGAGAGCTAAGCCCACAAACTTATTCTCTGACCTCCACACATATTTCACGGCGCACAAATGTGCATACACACACATACAATAACAATAACGTTTTCCGAGCCGGGTGTTGGTGGCACACGCCTTTAATCCCAGCACTTGGGAGGCAGAGGCAGGCGGATCTCAGTGAGTTCGAGACCAGCCTGGTCTACAGAGCTAGTTCCAGGACAGCCTCCAAAGCCACAGAGAAACCCTGTCTCAAAAAACCAAAAACAAAAAACAAAAACAATAACGTTTTCCAAGACAGGCTTTCTTTATGGCTTTGAAGGCCATCCTGGAACCAGCTCTTGTAGACCAGGCTGATCTTGAACTCACAAAGATCAGCCTGCCTCTGCCTTCCAGGTGCTGGGATTAAAGGTGTGTGTCACCACTGACCGGCCTATTGATTTATTTTTAAGAAAAGCAGATTAAAAACCATGCCCTTAAATATCTCTGGCCTCTGGGCAGGCAGAACTGGTTGCCAAGGACGAGTTTCTTTCTCATTTTCTCATCACTGGGCTTTGGACAAAGGTGGTGCCGTGATAAACTCAGTAAGCAAACTCCCCACAGAAAACTGAGAGCTTGCAATCTCATTACCCTTCGGGGGATGCTAGGAGCTCTCAGGCCAGTTACTCCGAAGTACAGCAGGGCTGTGGTCTAGAGACACCTGGCTCGACAAGGCAGAAGAAGGCTAGGATCAATGCCTGAACACTGTCCTTTTATCTTCACGGACACATGATGTGGCCCTCTCTCTCCTTACTCTCCTCCCCCTCTTCCTCTCCCCTCCATCTCTTTTCCTTTCTCCTCTCTCTCTTTCCTCTCCTCCTCCTCTTTCTCTTTTCTTTCCTTTCCCTCCTTTCTCTCTCTCTCTCTCACACACACACACACACAAGTAAGTGAATATATCTAAGCACATATTGACTTTGGGGGGGGCACATCTGCTAAGATCTTTTTTCTCCCAAGGTATAGTGGATTCTCTTGGGAGAAAGCAAGCCCTGGAACAGTAGGATTTGATGTCTATGAACTTCAGAGTCTACGAGAAAGCTCAAAAGAGGAAATTTCACAGAGACTGGAACATAGAAGAATTAGATCCCTAAAAAGGGACATTAATGGTACCCAAAAGAAGAACGTGAAAGTGGGGTGGATGGGGAATGTCTCTCCAGTTGTTTCCCTTTTTTAAAAATTTCTATGAATGTGGGAGGAGGACAAAAGTCCTATCTTAGGTTGTTGGGGTTTCTGTTGTTGTGACGAAACACCATGACTACAAGCAAGTTGGGGAGGAAAGGGTTTATCTTATCTGGCTTACACTTCCAGATCACAGTCCATCATTTGAGGAAGGAAGTCAGGACAGGAACTCAAGTAGGGCAGGATCCTGGAGGCAGGAGCTGGTGCACAGGCCATGGATTTCCTGGCTTGCTTCCCATGGCTTGCTCAACTGGCTTTCTTACAGATCCCAGGACCACCAGCCCAGAACGGCACCACCCACAATGAACTGGGCCCTCCTGCAAAATCATTAGTGCTGGCCTCGATCTCAGAGATCTGCCTGCCTCTGAGTGCTGGGATCAAAGGCATCCATTATCACTGCCGGGTTTTACAGCTACACTTTATGGAGGCATTTTCTTGATTAAAGTTCCTACTTTCAGATAACTCTAGTTTGTGTGTCAAATTGACATGAGACTAGCCAGCACAGTCCTTTTGTAGTCTAATTAAGAAAAACCAAGCTGGGTGCTGGTGACCTTTAATTCCAGCACTCTGAGGCACAGTCAGGCAGATCTCTGAGTTCGAAACCAGCCTGACAACCCTGTCTCAAAAAAAAAAAAAAAGAAAGCCACATTTATATCTCTCAGGAAAAAACACTAACTATGGCTATGGCTAGAGCAGTTATTTATATTGTTCTGTTTCAAGATGATTACCCAGTCTCTTGTTGAATTCCTAGGATCTTCCTGCCTCAACCTAAGTCTATAGCTAAGGCTACAGACTGTAGTTGCTCACTGCCAGGTCCAAAGGGTACCCCATTCATTCCTCACTCCCCCAAAAGGTCTGGCCCATTTCAACCTGTACCATAGAAGGATTTATGGAAATTAGGTAAAAGCCAGCATTCCCCAGGACCTTGTGAAACCTGTTCTCATTTGACAAAAGGAGTCATTTCCCTTACCTCAGGCTTCATGGATACATACCTGTGACCTCCAGGCTCCCTGAGTCCCTATTCACAAGTACCTGTCATAGGTTTTAAAGTCCATGCTACCCTCTCTAGGCTTCTCTCCTCTTAGACACCCGTTTGTTCTCTTTATAAAGATGGGGTTCCCTACCTCCACTGTTCCCACTATGCTCTATTCCCTGTGTCCTCCTGTTTTCCCTTCTCTTGCAGATAGCCCTGGCCACGGCCAGTCTGCTTTCTTTTCTTTCCACTCTGGACCCTTCCAGATGCCACTGTACATTATCTCTCTGTGTACCATAAAAACCTTCTCCAGGGACTGGAGAGATGGCTCAGAGGTTAAGAGCACTGGCTGTTCTTCCAGAGGACCCGAGTTCAATTCCCATCAACCACATGGTGACTCACAACCATCTGTAATGAGATCTGGTGCCCTCTTCTAGCCTGAGGCAGAACACTGTACACATAATAATAAATATATCTAAAGAAAACAAAAAACCAAACCAATGGGCTGGAGAGGTGGCTCAGAGGTTAAGAGCACTAACTGTTCTTCTAGAGGTCCTGAGTTCAATTCCCAGAACCCACATGGTGGCTCACAACCATCTACAATTCAATTTGGTGCCCTCTTCTGGCAGAACACTGTATACATAATAAATAAATAAATCTTTAAAAAAAAA